TGGTGGGTGAGAGTTGAACATGCCCTTGCTGTGTGCACCCAGACCCCCTCCTGTGTGTCAGCAGCAGGGTAGGGGGGGATTCTGCCCCACTCAAGTGAGACTCCACCTGCAGAGCTGCTTCCAGCCCTAGGGCAAACATCAGAAGGAGGTGGAGCTGCTGGAGAGAATATAGAGGCGGCCATGGAATTCCTCCAAGGGCTTAAGCCCCTCTGCTCTGGAGCCAGGCTGGGAGAGGTGGGGGTGCTCACCTGGATAAGAGAAGGCTCCAGGGAGACCTCAGAGCCTAAAGGGGCTCCAGGAGAGCTGGAGAAATTCTTTGGACAAGGGTGTAAAGTGGCAGGACAAGGAAGAATGTCTTCTCACTGCTGGAGGGCAGGGTTAGTTGGAATACTGGGAAGAAATTCTTGGCTGTGAGAGTACTGAGAACCTAGCACAGGTTGCCTAGAGGAGCTGTGGCTGTCCCATCCCTGGAAGCATTCAAGGTCAGTTGAATGGGGATTGGAGCATGCTGGGATAGTGGAAGGTGTCACCACCCATGGCAGGGGTTGGGACAAGGTAATTTATGGTCCCTTGCAAACCATTCTGTGATTGGAAGCAATGCCCAGGTTTGGCTGGTAAAGCTGCTAGGCACTGTGTGATAGAGACGGCAGCTGCATCCCCTGCAGCCAGTGCATCCTGGTGATCCTCCACAGCTTGTCACCTCTCTCCCCTTGAGCAGTTCCACCACCGTGACCCTGGAATTGTGGGGCTGCTGACAAGTGACAAGATTCCTGCTGGGCGGAGGGTCTTCTACGGCATGATTTCTGATGGCATCCACACCAACCCTGCTGCCCTGCGCATCGCCCACCGAGCCCACCCCAAAGGTGAGCTATGGCAGTCCCCACAGTGTCACCAGCCACTCTGAGCACTGCACCATCTCCCAGAAGACATTCATGCTGCCCTTGCTGTCTGGAAGGTCACAGCCACATGTGCTGATCCCTCAGTCCTCTTGCTTTGGTGGGAGGTGGGTGGAGACATGTGGTCTCTCTCTGGTAGGGTCAACAGGGCACAGCGCTTGGAGCCTCAGCAAAATCAGATGCAGCGTTGACAGGGCCCCTTTCCTTGTGTTCTTCAGGGCTGGTGCTGGTGACAGATGCGATGGCTGGCATGGGGCTGGCACCAGGTCGGCACACGCTGGGTCAGCAGGTGGTGGAGATCGATGGGCTGAACACCTACATCGCAGGCAAGTGCTGTCCCTCTTGCTGAAGAGCTGGGGACAGTGCTGCCACTGGCACCATTTCTGAGGAGCTGAGCATACCTTGCTGTCCCTGTTGGCGTGTGGCAGCATTTGTGCTGTTCTCTTGGGTTTTCATGCCTGGTGGATCTGCAGTGACTTGGCCATAGGGATATTGAAACTCCTGGTAAAGAGGAGATGTGTGCCACCCTCGTGGAGGAATCTGTCCAGTTGTAGCTGTCTGCAACACCTTTGAAAGCCTCATTGCCCAGTGTCAAGGGTGCCAGAGGTTCAGGGTGTCAGTAAGGACAGAGAAATCTTAGAGATATTTATTGTCCCTTTTCTTTATTATAACACTACCACTTCTTGCTAGCTAAATCACCTTAGTTTCAAATTCCCAAGGAGATGACGACTGGAAAGGTATTTCAGAGAAGGAGCATTCCTTTCTCCATTCCCATCCTCTGGTAGCAGATGCTTGTATTGTGAGCTGGTTTCACCCAGTCCAGCTGGTCTGATAGTGGAGCTGGGGGTTACACCCACGTACTTCTTCCTGTCCTCCAGCAGGAAGTGCCTGCAGGCCCTTCAGCTTGCTCCTCCTGCCACCCAGGACTTCTGCACTTCTGGTCCCATTATGCTTCCCTAGTGCCCTGCTTCTTGCTGTGATCTATGGGCACTGCTCAGTGCCATCCTGTTTCTCGCCCAGGCACAAAGACCCTGAGTGGCAGTGTGGCGACCATGGACACCTGTGTGCGACACTTCCAAGAAGCCACAGGTAAGAGAGCCTTGTCCACAAGCTGCTACTCCCTATGTTGACATGGGAGGAGGTCTTGCTTTTGCCAGATGTGTCCATTCCAACAGGAACTTTTGCTCTCACCTGAAGCAAGGCAGGGGCTGGGATCAGTGCCCTCAGATGAGCCCCTTTTTGAGGGGAAGTTTCATTTTAACCCATAGAATTAATGAGAGGTGAACTCTCCTGCTTCTTCCTCACTAAAGTGAATGTTTTTCTCTTCTCCATACCCTATGTATTCAGTCTTCCTATGCCTGCTCTCTCCTGTAGGGATATTTCCATTCCCAGCTCCAGCTGGCTGTGCTGAGGGTGTTCCAGCTAGGGTCTGTCAACTGCCTGGTTGACAGTTGCCTTGTCCCGGGGGATTTGGGCTGCTCTGGCAACAGGGCTGTGGCTGCCCTAACGTCTCCCCAATTCTCTGTCCAAGGGTGCTCGGCAGAGACCGCGTTGGAGGCGGCATCTCTGCATCCCGCTCAGCTCCTGGGGATTGAACATAAAAAGGGGACACTGAATTATGACTCCGATGCAGGTACTGGTGTGGGCACAGCATGTACTGGTTATGGAGACAATGGTGTCAGAGCTCATAAGTGCTGGAGTAAAGCAGGGGCTGCTGTAAGCACGTGCTCATTCCATTTCAGTGGGAGCTGCAGGGTGACTTGCTCCACCTGGGCTTTTGCTCCAGTGGTTTTTCCCTTGGATGCTGGTGGTGTTTGGGAAACCCTTTGGCGTGCCCCCCACATCTCAGCCAAGCAAAAAGCAGAGCTGCCATTGCCAGGATTGCACTGCAGTGCCATCCTAGGGTGGGGAGAAGCCCTTCCCTACTGAGTTCAGCTCTCCCCAGCCACCTCCAGCAGCTCCATTCTGACAGCTGCTTTCTTTCTCTCTTGTCTAACACAGATTTCCTAATGCTGAATGACAGCCTGTATGTGCAAGCCACATACATTGCCGGCGAGGAAGTCTGGCGACAGGATGTGTCGGGCATGTGACGCTGGGCTGTCCCAGTGTCCTCCAAGGCTCCCTGGCACTGTGGTTAGCAGCTCTGGCAACCACTCCACTTCTCTCTTTTGGTTTTTTTTTCCTCCCAATTCCTTACTGCAACTCCATCAAAGGAGCCTCATACCAAAGCGTTGCATTTTCCAGCTTCCAGTTACAGCCATGCCTGTCACGAATTTGTTGGTGCTCAGTTGGTGGCATGGGGAAAGAAGGCAGCTCTGTGCTGGCAAGGAATGCCAGTCCTAGAGTGACCTACAGGACTGCACAGCTGTCCTGCCCCCAGACAGGTGCTCCTGCCACCATCTGACAGCAGAGAGGAACTGTCCCAGCCTTTGCATGGTTTATACAGCACACACTAACCTGCTCTGCATCTGAGGCAGGTTCAAGCCATTCCCATTCCTCTGCCTGCTGTTTGCTTTGCTCCCAGGAAGCCATGACTTGTTAGACATCAGCTTCCACCAGCTCAGTTCACAGCTCTTCTCGTGACAAGGTTTCTGTTGTATCAGGAGCTGAGGATCACATTCAGATCTCCTGACAGCCCTTCTGTTGTGTGTCCTCAGAGCAAGGCTGCCACAGCTTGCTGACTCGGTGTCCTTTTGGGGCTGAATCCTCAGGGCAGAGATCAAACCCAGGAATACCAAGGCAGCACTGGTCCTTTGTGCCTTTTCCCTGCATGGGCATTGAGTCCACAGAGCTGGAGATATGAACAGCGTCCTGCCACATAAAACAATGTTCCTTTCACTCCTTGCTCTGTCTGGATGGGTTCTGCAGGCTGTGCCAGCCATACCAAGAAGAGCCTTTGCATTACCTGATGGGTTTGTGCATTCCTTAGGCTGTGCATGGGGAGCTTTTGCTTTAGGGGATGCATCCAGACTGGTGGTGATAGGCTCATGAGCCCTCAGTCCAGCTCAGGTACTGAGGGAGAGGAAAACTGCGGTGGGATTCTGGCCTTTCAAGACAGATATGATAGCTCATTATTTTGTGCTCATTATCTTCTCCAATACTTGACTGTCAGACTTTTTTCTGACACATGGACGTATGTGAGGACTGATGCTGATTTCGACCTGACTCAACCATAAGCCTCGAGATAAAGTCTCAAGACAACCTTGGAAAAGGCTCAAACCACTGAGGTGGTTTTTGTAATGAAGGGAGGGCTCAGACAACGGCTAAGTCTCAGCGAGGGTGGAGACTGTAAGGCAGACTGAAGTCTGGTTGCGATTGGCAAAAGTGTACCGATTTTTTCAGTACCATTTTATAATCTTTACCAGCAACATTTGGAAGTGCTTTCCCAGCACTTTAGAGCCCTTCTGTCAGCCTTGGAGAATTTCTAACATCAGCTGTCAATGTCAAGAGAAATTATAACCTCCATGGTTTGAAGCATTTGAGAGACACAAAATCCTGTGCTGTGACGTGCTGTGCTGCTGCAGTACTGACCTCATGGGGATCTTCTGGCTGTTGTTGGAAACAATCCAAGGGGGAAAAAAATGCCCGTGAAATAAGGTGTCTAGATTTTTATTTACAAAATTAAATAATCAAAAGGAAATCTAAAATAGAAATGGGATTAGACAGTACCTGTAGGCGTGTATTAACCTTTTTTGTCTGCCCATGGTGGTGCGTGCTGGCGTGGCTCGTGTCAGGCTGTCATGTGAGGGGCCAGGGCTGGTGCGGACGCTCCTGCGGGGATTTGGCCCAGGAAAGGCGGCGCCGCCGGATACCCACGGCCCGGCCTGCTCGTGGGCACATGTGTGTCGGGCAGGTCCTCAGGGGAATCGGGAGCAGGAGGGAGGAGCAGGATTCACGAATGTGCTGCCAAAGTGGGTTCCGAGGACTCCGCCCGCTCTCGGGCGGAACGGCAGCGCGGGACGCGGCCGGAGCGCTGAGGGCGGCGCACACCGGCCCGGCCCGGCCACCCGGAGCGCTGAGGGCGGCGCACACCGGCCCGGCCCGGAGCGCACGGCCGGCGGCGGCGGGGAGGCCGCGCGGAGGCTCCGGGGGGGTACCGGGGAGGCCCCGAGCTCCAGTTGGCGCTGCTGGCCCGGCCTGGGCGGGGCTGCTCCCGGAGCCCACACGAGGCCCGTGACCGGAGGTGGGCGGTGAGGTGGAGCCGTTTCCTCCGGCGGCGGCGCTGGAGTTCGGCCTGGAGCGGGTAAGGCTCTGCTGCTCGACCCGCACCGACCCCCTCTCATCGCACCGGGCCCAGATCCCGCAGGTTATCCCTAAAGGCCTTCCCAGCGCTGGTGCCTTTCTCAATCCCTGCTGATTTCCTTATCCTGAACATTCTTTTCGTTCCCAGTGTTTTAGTGTGTCTTGTCCTCAGGGGGGCTATAAACCTTAAGTTCACCTGTTTAGCAGGAGGCAGCCAGCGTAGAAGTACAGTACGTGGGGCCTCAAGGGCTTGTGTTTAGCCTAAAGATAAATTCTCTGTGTTGCCAGAGCTATGCTAAAGGGAATTTTTCTGCTTTGGAGACATTATGCCATTGCCTAAGCTTCAGGAAAAATGAGAACTCTTCCATTTGGGGCCTTTAAAAAGGGAGGGGTAGAAAAAAATATGAAAAAAAAAAAATGTGGGAAGTCCTGGCTTGCCAGTAATGCTAAGAGCTGTAATTTTTGTAATGCAGAGGGCTCATTTGGTGTTCTCCACACAGGACACACGTTCCCTGTGCTGTGTTGATTTATGGTATAAATTACCTGTTACACAGCACACATCCAGTGTAAAGCCTGATCTCTTGTGAGAGAAGGCCTCAGAAAACTCAGTTTTGGAGTCAGTATTGGAGGTGAGAGATTTGTGCTTCTAAACATTTTGCCTTCTCCACACAAAGTCTAAGGCTTCCCAAGGTGTGTTCCAGGAGGAGCTGGAGTGGTGCATTTCACAACTGGAGGCAGATCTCCACCTCACTCCACACCCCAAAAGAGGTATGTTCCTCTTTCCCATCCCACACCCCCCCATATTCTGGTCTTGGGTGTGATTTAGCAGATCTGGGTGTTTTTCTGGTTTTTCTCTCCTTTATGTTCCCTGTTCTTGTGTTATTTAGGATTTTTTCTAAACACAGAACAACACAAAGCATTGGGCTTTAAGGACTGTTTCTGGCAGCAGTTTTGCCTTTCATTCATTTAGTATTTGTTCTCCCTGTTTTCTGTATTCTTCGTTGTATATTTGTTTTCCCATATCATTATATGTTGGTTGGTTCTGCTACAGCTCTGCCTTTGTTTTCCATCTTAAGGAAATACTGTGCCAGTGTGTCTGGACCTTAAACACCAGTAGGTTTATTTTTGTGAAGCTTGTTCCAGGGAAAAATTTCATAGAAGGTAAAATCCTGTAAGGTCATAGTTTGATCTCATCAGTCCAATTTGTAGAGCTGCAGACATACATCCTGCTGCTGGTCAGTACCTAATCTTGGGAGAGGGCTGTGAACCCTGTGTAAGATGCTCAGATGAGTGTTTGCTGGTGCACCTGAGGATGGAGCAGTAACTGATAGGTGCCCGCACTCTTTTCTTGAGCATCAGGCTCCAAAAATAATTAAGGCTGAGAGGGCTGAGGTTGTTCAGCTGGAGAAGGCTCTGGGGAGTCCTCAAAGCCCCTTCCAGGGCCTAAAGGGGCTCCAGGAGAGCTGGAGAGGGACTTGGGACAAGGGATGGAGGGAGAGGACAAGGGGGAATGGCTTCCCACTGACAAAGGTTATGCTTAGATCAGATACTAGGAAGCAATTGTGCCCTCTGAGGAGGAGGGGAGGCCCTGGCACACGGTGCCCAGAGAAACTGTGGCTGCCCCTGGATCCCTGGAAGTGTCCAAGGTCAGGTTGGATGGAGCTTGGAGTAACGTGGGACAGTGGAAGGTGTCCCTGTCCATGGCATGGGTGAATGAGCTTTAAAGTTTCTGCCCAACCTGTTCTGTGATCAGACCGTTTTGTTACACACATTTCCTTGCTGGTGGTCCCTAGTGCCTAGCAGCAGGGAAGGCAGCTCCTGGAGGGGAGGCAGGAGCTGAGCACAGGAATGGGCCAACAGGAGCAGGGCCCTTTTGCACCATACATGAGCCAGGAGAGCTGAGCAGGTGCTGCTGATGGTACCCAGGCTCTGCCTGAAGTCACAGTCACTGGAGAAGTCTGGTGAGGAGGCAGATTCAAGCCCTAACCAGGAATTCAGGGTCTGGATCAATGAGTTATTTGGCTGTAGCACTTGTATGCATGAGGTACTCAGCTTAGAGTAGCTCCCAAGTGAGGGAGGGGAGCAGCTCACTGGAGCGTTCTCTATCTCTTGTGTAACTGGGTTACAGCTAGCCAAATCCCTTGAAATAAGGGTACATGTGCTCAGGACCCTGACACACCGATGCTGTGAAGGTACATCCCACTTCCATCCCACCACAGGGGTCAGGGGTGCATCCAGCCCAGCATCACTGGCCGAGATGGGGAGGGGATTGTCCCACTCTGCTCTGCCCTGGGGTAGCCTCAGTTCGAGTGCTGGGGGTACTTGGGGGCATCACAGTATAAGGAGGATCTAAAACTGTTAGAGAGGTCCAGGGGAGGGACACGAGGATGGGGAAGGGTCTTGAGGGGAAGCCATAGGAGGAGCAGCTGAGGGCACTTGGTTTGTTCAGCTGGAGAAGAGGAGATGGAGCACAGAGCTCACCAGGGCTACAGCTCCTCCTGTGGGGCAGCTCCAATCTCTGTTCTCTGTGACAGGGGCAGGACCTGAGGGAATGGCTGGAGCTATGTTAGGGGGTGATTATTAGGCTGGATGTTAGGGAAAGGTTCTTTCGCTGGTTGGGCATTGCAGCCGGAGAGGTAGGATGTTCCCGTTCCACAGTACTACTCTCAGATTGTTCTGTGGCTTAAAATAAGTGAGGCAAACACTACAACACTGTATTGTAGTGGGGACCACTGTCACAGAACAATTATGGTTTTTGGAGAATTTGTTTTAACACAAAAGCTTTGGATTCCTGTTGTAGTCAGGCTGGTTTGTAAGAGAGTCAAGCAAGAGTCCTGCCTTCCAGGGTATGCTTTCTACTCAGATTCATTCCAGTTTTCCAGAGAAGAGACACTGAGCTGGGTTCTGGGATTTGTCTTCACCTTGAGGGAAAGATTGCTAAGCCCTCTGTAGCATCAGTGCCGTGAGCAGTGGACTTGCTGCAGTGTAAGAGTCCAGCTGTATGTAATAAGCACTTATGATTTTTTTTTTCCCTCTGTAGGAACATCTCACAGTATTTGAGCTTCTAGAAGCACATGGAGTTCCCTTTCAACTGAATGCTAGTTATAGATTAGTCAGGGGTGGTATGAGCACAGAGGATATTCAGAGAAGAGTCAGTCATCAGCACACCACAGTGTGGATTTTAAGGCCCACCATAAACTGTTTCTTGTTTCTCTTGTTTTCTGAGTGCAGCAGAAGAGACCCAACACATTTTCAAGGTACTGCGTTCACCTGAGACTGCTCTTTCAGAGAAGCAACAAGTGAGCAATGTGTTTGGAGATTGTCATCTCAAGATGGATGAGGGTCAGAAGATTATGGAGAAAGGTGAGCTTGAGCTGTCCCTTGGGAGGTGGTGAGATTTGGTTCTTTTCTGTAGATTTCTTAAGTTACAGCATTGAGTCACCTCTCTAGGCAGTGCCTTAGAGTGGAAGCTAGAGTGGCACCCCCATGGTAGGAAACTGGTGCATTGAGAACACCATTATTGAAACAATATTCTTTGTCTTTTCTAGGCATGAACCCTGATGTTGTACAAGTACAGCCAAGCAAGAGGCAGGCTACAGATGGTGTGAAACAGTCTGACCCAACCTCTGAGGCAAAGCCAGAGTTGTTCACATCATCTGGCAGCAGGTTCCAGTTTGATTTTACACTTTCTGAGACCGACCCAGAAGCTGACCCTGGTGACAGTGTTGCTGAGCATGTACAAAACAATGTCAGAGCCACCAAGCAGGAGAACTGGAATGGAGCCTTGATGTTTGCTGCCTCTGGGCAAGAACCCAAGTTTGCTTTCAACTTTGCCATCACAGATGAAGACTGTCCTCATCTTCAGTTACTTCCAGCAAGCCAACATACAGAGCACATAGCAGATCCTTCACTGCCTGCTGAATCAGCAGCTCTGCCACAGGCTACAGCCTTGCAGGAGCCTGAGGTGACTCAAGTGACTGGGAATGCATCCAAAGAGGATAGAAGCCATGCCACATCAAAGATCCCCGAAACAGAGACAGCCCCTGCAGATAAGGCAGTGACAGAGAAATCGACAGGAGGTGGAGCTGCCCAGAAGAAGAAAAAGAAGAAACAAAAACCACCTGTCAGTAGAAACAAAACAGAAGAAACTGAGACCAACAGGAAGGCAATGGCAGAAGCTAACAGCTGTCAAAATACAGATACTTCCCATCAGGATGAGAAGACCTCTCAGGTAGTTAATTACTGGTGGGATCCCATAATTTATAAGCCCTTGAGCTAAAGAGACATTTTATCTCTTTGCATAGATGAACAATTTGCATACTGCCTTGAGATGGAAGCTGAAAGACCGTGCTTGCTGCTTACATGTTCTAGCAGCTGATTGCTTTCTCTGCTACACAGCTGAGGAACCTGACCAGTGCAAAGGACATTAATGGTCCTTCAAATTTATGCTGAAAGATTTCATATTTAGGCTTGTGACAGCTAATCCTGGGGAACTGGATGCCATGTTTTCTTAAGAAAATAAAAACAGGAAATGGAGGTAACTGTCTTCAGTTGGTGCCAAGCTGGTGCCTGTGCATGCTGAGCCGGGCCCTGTAGCTCTGGTCTGCATGTTGCAGGATGAATTGCTTTCGTACTGTAACGAGCAAAGCCATGACAGAACTGCCACTTGGTGTAGCCAAGGACCTGTGGTAAAGCTCAAGGGTGCTTCCAAGAGGGTTCCTCTGTAGGGCATGGCCCAGAAATCAACTGAAGTTGCAAGTTATGTGTAAACACAACATTAAGGCACACTCTGAGGTTTTCTGTTCTGCTAAGGTCCAGGTCTTCATTTTATTTTACTTTCCAGCTCTGGTGCAGGTGTTATTAACAAACAGTGCCAGCTGAGCAATACTGTAATACAAGATTGCACAAAACCTTCCTTTTCTTAATATTTTACAAGGAAATTGCACTGAGTGTTCACCTGCCTCTGGAGCATGCCTTCCAAAGGTCTGCTTCACCTGCAGTCCTGCCAATAAACACTGTTGAGCACCAGAGACATTGGAAGAGCTGAAGGTCAGGTAAAGTCCTTCCAGTCCTTTGGAAGGACACTGTAGTAGGTAAAAGGAGACAGCGTGAGGGCATTTGTATTTACATGTACATAACAGTTAAGAATTGCCTCAGTCCCAGGGTGCAGCCCTGTTTCCCTGTCCCACTGCTGAGTTAGCCAGCTGGCTTTCCTCAGTGGTGCTTGGCTTCCTCCATCTCCATGGGCTTCATCTTCCTTCTCCTCATGCATTTCTGGTTGAGCAAGCACAGAGGAGCTGAGAAGAAAGGCTCAGTTTCTGATTTTGTCCATTTTTTTGATTTTGCGCAGGTTTGAGGATAGGGGTTTTTTATTATTTATTTCTCCCATCTTTTTTTATTTGAAAGCTGTTTTCCAGAAAACAGCACCTTCTGAATGGCAGCCACATATTAAATACATCTAATAGAGACAGTGAGTTGCAGCTAAACATTTGCACAGTGCTTTATCTGATGAAAAACACTGGAGGGAAAATGCCATGAAGTCTATAAAGTGATCACCAGAACATGATATTTGGAATAGTTCTGACTGTATGGAGTTCACTTTCATCCTGTATAACAACTGCTGCTGTAATTTTTGGGTGACTTATTTCCTCTTGTTCACTGTGCCTCATGTTGATAACAGTCAGATGAGCAGCTGCAGAAAGAGGTGGACTGGTGTGTGAACCAGCTGGAACTTGGCTTGAAGACACAGAAACCCACTCCAAAGCAGGGTAAGCACTGAAGTAAAGAAGAACTTTCTCCTGGGGGGAGCATTGGCAGGAATGCAGGGGCAGAGCCAGCAGGGAACCTTAACCTGTGTGTTGTTTCTCCTTTGCTGTAGCTGAGGAGGCTCTCAGGGCAATCAGGACACTGCGCAGTGACAAAGCTCCACTGGTGAAGAAGCGTCAGCTCATGAGAGCCATGTTTGGAGACTACAGGAAAAAGATGCAGGAGGAGCTGTGCAGAGAGCTGAAGCTTATGGAAACAGGTAAGAGAACTTTGCATGGTGAGGAGGAGAAGAAAGGGATTCAGTCCTGCCCTATGCTTTGCAGACTGAGTCCTCACTATATGAGATGACTGATTCTTATTTTTTCTCCCCCCTTTAAGCTGCAAAATCTGCCGGGATTGTGGAATTGAAGGGAAGCATCTGCAAGAAAAATGGCCGGTTCATCCGGAAGTGCTTGGGAGCTTGCAGGAAAAGCCAAGGTTCAGCAGAATCCCCTTCAGAGTCACATGGGACACTTAACAGAGGTTTATTCAATTGCACAACTCCCCAAGAATTTCACTTTAATTTCTTCTAGAAAAGTCACTTTGACTAAAACTGGGCCAGGTCTCCTGTAAACTGAAGAACAGTGGAAAGACACTATGCAATAGGAAATGTAATGCATGAATCTCTGGATCCTCTTCCAGGGTGCCTTAACTAGAAGTTTAAACCAGACCTGCCTACTATGCATATGACTCTAAAACTCAGCCTACATTACTGCTCTTCTGTGCTCACACTGGAGAGAGGCACCTTTGAAAGGGTCAGCAGTGTGGAAGGATCTGCTTTCTTTCCTGTAGAATTGACATTAACTGTAGAATCTGTCTTTTATATGAGATTTTCCCTTTCTCCTGTTGCTTTTAAATAGAGCAGTGCCTTTCTAGCAGCTGAGGATGCATACAGCAGGGGATGGTTTGGAATCAAGATCCAGCAGTGGATAGCTGGATGCTTCCACTCTGAGTCTGTGTGAATGCAGTGTCTGGCATCCAGCAAACACCAGCAGTGTGTCGTCCCTGACATGGAAGTGCATGAGCTCACGGTCTTTGAGGGAAAGTGAGTGAGAACTATTTTTGCTCATTCATCTCTTTCACTGACAGGTATAGTGAAGTAGAAAAAAATGCACATAATTATTTAATCCAGCCTAGGGATGTAAGGACAGTTGTTTCTAGAAAAACAGGGAAAATTTTTGTTGCTGAAGCTAGGTTCTGGACAGCTAGGAAGGATATGCAATCAGCTCTTAAATAAAGTTTCCTTTATAAGTTCAGTTACAACTACTAGTGCATCAGAGGGAAAATTAGCTGCATGTTAGCCTTGGGTAGTGGTAAAATCAAATGTCATAGCCAAAGACTCTGTTCCATTTGATTTGTATTAAATTTTGGCTTTTTGAATTTGTGTTTCCAGTCAATTCTGCTTGAGTCACTGAGCCATCTCTTAAGTTCATGCAGAAAATCTTCCCACCAGGCCTAAAAAATGCTGAAGGAAGAGAAGTACTGTGAAAGGTTACATGGTATTAGGTGTCCCTAGGGAGCAGTGCTTTCCTCCCTTTTGTAGTCCAGTCAGCTTGTGTGAAAAGTGAGAAATGGGAGTATAAGCAGATTGAAGGGAATCTGGAGACTCTTGAGAACAGCTGAGAGATGGTGAAAAACATTGGCTGTGAAGGACTAAACACCTGATTGTGACTCTAAAAAATTAATTTTATTACTAAGGTCTGGTGCAGGCAGTTGCATCTGCGAGACTTTTTTTTTTTTCTTTTGTGCCAAGGAGCACAGCTGTTACTTTGAATGATCTTAGACAGTATTTTTTTTTATTTCCAGGATTTTACACTAAATATACAAAAGCTGTGTCCTTATCACACTTTTTGTGTTTCAAGATTCATGATTCAAGAGCATCGTTTACATGACCTTGGAGCTACAGCTGTTTGCTTCCCTGGCTGATTATGCAGGAGGTGTCTGGGAAATAAGTTATTTTTTTCCTTGTCATGTCTCAGGTAAAGCTAGAGCTGCTAAAACATTATAAAATCCTTGCTGCAGAAGTATTCTGGAAAGCATTCTTACATAATCAGCTCATGTACATGCTATTCATTAGGCATTCACAATTAGGCTAAAGGTAGCAGTGTAACTTGATCCAGCAGTTATCTTCAAAGGGGTCAGAGAAAAATCCATTCAAATATGAGAACAACTCTTGTGGTTTTCCAGAGGTCTGAATAATGCTGACCTGCAAAGCCGGTTCCTTTTTCTGTACTTCATTACTGGAGGACTTATCCATGTGTGTGGGAAGGCAGATGTTCATCAGTGTGATACTTGTGTCACTGAGTGTCAGTGTAGGGTCTGTTCAGTTCCACAAGACAGCCATGGGATCTTGGACAAAGGATTTTGCCTTTTTCTGTCTACTCCCTGGTTTTATAGTCAAGGTGATGTCTCCTGAGTTTTTGATGGATGTGCCCAAATTATTTCATTGGTGATTTTATCTTGAAGAGGTGTCTAGAACTACAGCAGTCTGTACCTCACTTTTAAGCTTTGCTGTATTATATTTGTTTGAAAGGAAACAAGCACTGGTATTAGAAGTTAGGGAATGCCGTGGCTGCTCCATCCATCCTTTCCTCTTTAGAGGGGCCACAAAGCAGTCTTAATGATGCTTTTTTAAACATTGTGTTGTCCCCTTTTAACATTTCTTTAGAATTTCAGTGCTGTTCAGGGTTTCAGTGATGTATCTTATTACAGCAGGGTCAGGTTTGGATCGGGGTTTGCTCTAATAGTAATAGGCTAGTAAGACTAGACTTAATAGACTGTAATACCTGTGGCTGGAGGTTTGGTCTATTCCCCAAGGCATTAATGATGTACAGCAGTGAGGGAGAAGGGATATTCTGATCCACCTGGACATCTCTGATGCACTGTTCTTGCTTTAAGGAAATGTATCTCAGTTTTGATAGAAAGTTGAGCTCAATTCTGACCTGTCCATTTCTTCATCGTCTCCTCAGCTTTGTGCCTGGCATTTGAGTTTGGTGCCACCAGGGAGACTGGACTGGGGGGTACTGTATTGCTTTGCTGACTGCCAACCTAAATGTAGAGCAGCAGTGCCAGGCCCAAGCTTGTAGGCAGCAAACTGCTTACAGGAGTATCCAGCACAACTGTGAGCTCTGGAATGAATTAAAGGCAAGGCAAAAGGGGATTGGAAGTACCACAGTGCTTCTAGAGCAAAACTTGCCTCACAGCATCAGTCTTGGAAATCTAAAAGCTGAGGATCAGCTACTAAAGAGAATGAAGGGTTACAGGGACACCGTAACTTGTCTCAGATAATTCCCTGTAGCAAAGCAGGGGAAATGTCTCACTTTTGGGAACAAAGTGAATTTTAGGGTTCTTTCTGTGGCAGGGTGAGGCCAAGAGTGTTTGCACACAGAGACAGCAGAAATCTGTGTGTGATCTTGGCACCTTTTAGGCTTGGCACCCTCCTGTGTAAACAGATTCCCCAGGCAAAGGTTAGGAAATGCAGTCCCATTCCATCTGCCTTCAGACCCTGCTTTCAGGGGATGGCCTGCCTGCCCCCTTGTCTCGTTAAGGACTTTTGGGTTTGGGTTCCTTTTCCCTTTGAACTGAAGATTGACGAGAGGGAGGCAGTTTTCTCTTGTTCGGTCTCAGTTGTTTATTCTTATCAGCATTACAAGGTACAAGGAGCTATGTGCACTATGATAGAAAAGGGTAAAATGGCTAACTAAGATCTTCTTCAAGGTCTTTTATAAGTCCATTTACCCAATTAACAGATGCCAACTAAATTATTTTTCTTAGTGACCCAATGACCCAACACCTGTGTGCTGCACTATGGTATTTTTTATCCAATCACTTACTATTACCCAAAAACCCCTAGGAGAAGAACATGAAGAAGAAAGAAGAAGGACAAGAGACAACACCCTAAATCCTCCATCTTGTCTCCTGTTCTCTAAACTACTTTTTCACCCAGTGATTTAAGAAACTTTCTAATCTACACACTTACACTTTTAGCTTTTTCCATCTAACTTTAACATTTGTTTTCATGTATCACCATGAAAACATGCTCATGAATTTCATATTATATGAAATTCAGTGTTTCTTTGAATCCTAGAACTAAGTATTAGAAACAAGGGTACACACTCTGTATCTCAGACTCCAACACCCCCTCACAGGCTGGCCCTCATCCCTGGCATTTTGGCTATTACCTTGGACACTGGGCACTAATCAGACACTTGTCCGACCCCTCCTCCTGAGCTTGGTCAGTAGAAATGCATTTATTGGTCCTTGGGCTGCCCATCTCTGAGTAATGAGGGGGCAGAGTCACTGAGGAAAAGCTCACAAAGAATCTCCAAGGGATCCCTACAGAGTTCAGCTGGAATTACTTCCAGAGTCCCAGCAGGACTATAGAGGGACTTCCTCTCCCAAGACCAGAAAGAAGCTAATAAATTGGTCCTACTGATCCTGTGTTTCGGGTGACTGATACTACCTTGTCTCACTTTGATTTTCTAGATGCTGAGACTGTGGTCTTAGCATCCAATCACTAATTGAATCCAATTACATCCAGTCAAGAGTAACACATTATCTTCATTTGGGGGGAGAAATCCTAACTTTTCTTTGAATTAGAAAGAGGAAGAACTTACCACTTCAGGAAAGATATCAACTGAAGCATTCTAACAGAAGGAAGGTTAAAGAGTAAGAATAATTTAACCTGCAGTTCCATAACAGAAAAATAGGAGAGATGCTGCTATTTTAAGACCATACAAGCTATTTAGATTCATAAGATCTGTGACAGATGATCTTGTATCTTTATGCTGCCTAAATTTTTTCTGCTCACTGTTTCTGCTGCTTTCATCTTTAGAACTGTGGAAGGTTTGTAAGACACACTGCTTTAGAAAATCCACCTGTGACATCTCCAGTGGTTTGATTCCTGGCACCCGTCCTCCTATGTGTGCTGGCAGCTGGGGAGTTCTGACCACTGGCAGTGTTTAGTCCATTTGGCTTCTTCCCTGTGAGTACATCAATAGGCACGACCAGCTCCTGATATCTCACCTCCAAAATGGAAGAAATCTGGGTTGTGTTTCTCTGATCTTGATTATCATCATGCATGTTCTAATGAAACAAAACCCACATGTGGAAGAAGCCAGGAAGGAGAGGAAAAGCAAGCTGTCCCTGCTATCCTCTTCTCCCAGTAATGCTGGCAAACAGCTGGAGTATACCCAGGAAGAGCTTGCTAGTATCTGGAGAAGCTAAATCATGTCTTCTTTGACAGAAGCCAGAAAAAGGGATAGCCACCATGATCAGAATTCTGCCATCACAGAAGTGCTGATGTTGTGTCAGAAACTAAGGAACACTCAGGAAAGGAGGTAGGACACTCAGCATCTGTCAGGCTACACAAAGTTCAGGTAGGAGACTTAGAATGACTATCAGACTCAACCAAAGATAGAGCTCCTGGCTAAGGTGGTGAATCCTGGCTGATACAGTGAATCCTGATGAGATGCATAGTCCATGAACTTGGAGGGGGAAGAGGTGGGAGGAAGTCTTGTCATTTTGAAGGTAATGCATTCTTATTTTTGCATTGCTTATTTCAACATTACGCAGTCTTCCAGAGAGAGCTCTGTGACTCGCGTGGTGTATATGTTATATGTGAAAGATGTAAATGCTGGCATTAGCATCTATGCATCTGTGTAGCTATTAAGTAAATTACTCCTTCCCATAGAAACAGTTGTAATTTCTTACTTCAAGAAATTATTGTGCAGCTCTTCAGCTGTTACAAATCTCCCACTTTCACCTCATACATCAGTGTTTTACCAGTTTTCCCAGCTAAGGGTCTGGCCCAGTAAGGTACATCTAGAGGCCATTGCATGATATTGAGCCATGGGAAAGACTTCTGGGATTTTTCTTCTGTGCACAATGATCATGCACAGTTGTACTCTGTAAACATGAAAGGCACTATTGGGTACCTACAAAATTCTCTTTGTCTTGACCAAGGCCCTACTTTAGGGGCTGAAACAATGCAGGTCTTTATATTTTTATCATTAGCCTCGTTTCAATACATCAGATTTTGCCCTTGAGATGACACTTTTCATGGCAGCTCCACAAGGCTGTGTCACTTTATGCCAGCAGCTGTTTCTCCCACTTTCCTCCCATCCAGCAGATGTTTCTATTCTTCATTCCTGAGACATTGATCTCTTAGTACCAGTGGCCCACTGTGTCATGGAGCACATCCTGGGTCCAGGTGGGAGCTCCAGCATGAAGCCTTCACCACAGAGGAGACCTTGCTATCCATAATGGGCCCTGCCCAAGAATCAAGAGACAGATGTGAACAGCCTTTGCAGTGAACCAGGACATTGTAACTTCCAAAGTGTTTCAGAGCTGCTTGAGCTATCTGAGGGAATAAATACAGC